GAAATGATTATGCATACAATGGACTCCGGACAAGGTGCGTTCTTCTAAGTCTTCCTACCAATATGACCAAATTGCAAAAACAAGGTCAAACAACTTCTATACAACGAAAGAAGACTGTGACCACACAAAAGGCCACGCCATCTTGGTCTTCATACCTTACATTACTTATTGTTAGTTTATTAGTAGGTTTTCTAGACTATATGAGATGTCTTCACCATTTTTTGTTTGAGTCTATGTGAAATTCAACTGAAACATAAGCTATACTCATATGACTGTGAACAACTCTAATTGCTAGCCCTTTATCATCGTAAACTAAATAGGGTGAACACATCTCATGTACGTAGTATTTATTAATATGAGATGTATTCACCCAATTTCGTTTAAGGTGATGTAGGACTGGTAGTAGAATTTTCCCACAATGATATGAGTAGAGCTGAAGTTTCCATTGAATTTGACATATTCTTCCATCAGTCCTTTAGTCATTCATCACTTTAAACGAAATAGGGTGAAAAAATCTCATATTATTGATTTACTGGTAGTCTTGAAACTCTACTCACATACGAAAAATGTTGTATTTATATTGTTGAATGTAATAACAAATATTTATGCAAACTAGACACTGGGTGAATTGCAAATCGAGTCTGCCCCCTCTCCGCTACCTTATCCCGTTTTGTGTGTTTCTGAGGCCTAGGAGAGGTTGAAACTGTGATTCGGGCCGGATGAAAAAGCCCTACTGGCGAAATGATCAAATATAGAAGTGGTCTAACCTTGTTTTATTGGAGAGACCTTCATTTCGTATGAAAGTGCATGAAGAAAAGATTCATAGGCTAATCTCATCATAAGACAACGGCAGAATTCCCTTGAACTGCTGCTGTTTGGGCTTACTACAACGTTCAGCTTGACGCAATCCACGAAACATCCTCCCTCGCTTCTGGTGAAAACTGGCTGAGCTTTCATCCATCATCAGAGCTGGAACTCATTTTTGTAAAAGTCTCACTCTAACACTAGGTCAAGAAGATTGTCCGGCTCTATCTTACATCTTATATACACTCATAAGTAAAAAAATAAAATATATCGGCATAGATAAATATAGAATGGTTTGGCAAATTATATTCATGTTGATCCAGTTACTCTTCGTATCCACAGCCTCGTTTTGCCAACCTGATCATATTGTCAGGTGACCTAGTTGGACACATTTTGTCCGAAGTCATCTGATGTAGTAGAAATGATCATTCACAGCGTTAAACCCTGGACTTGGCACATTCTCAGATGTTTTGTTAGAATTTTAATTGAGCATTGCCATTATTAGCAGCAAGCGACAACTCGTCAAAGAGAGAAATGACTAACTTTCTGCCAAACGGCTGTTTCTTTACTCTCTCTTCTGTCCTGGTAGATCTACCTACCCACTATCCTTGTGTCTCAATGCCTCGCTATCACAACTTCTGACTTTTTTATATTCAACTAATCTCAAGGTGTGTGAAGGGAGATCGCGACCAAAATAGAGGCCACAACATCCGTCTCTTCTTGTGTAAGACGGCTCTTCAATAGCACCATAAGACCTCATATCATTTAAATATTAGAAATTCAGTTGTCAGCCCTACATTACCTTTAATAACTAGGTTACTCACTCTCTTATTCAATATACATTAATGGCTCCTAAGTGTGCTAAATCAGTTTGCTTCATGAAGCTTGATTTCGGTGCTCCTTAATTCCAACAATTGCAGGCATCTTTATAAGAAGTAAAGTGTGCATGGATTTTTTAATGAGCTGTTATAAAATTTGCTCTTTTATTTTTTGGTCATAGTCAAGGAGAATCCATAAATCGGGATAGTTTGTTGCTGGC